GAGCAAAAATATGGACTGTGGGGTAGGGAGATGGGAGGGAGCAAAAATATGGACTGTGGGGTAGGGAGATGGGAGGGAGCAAAAATATGGACTGTCAGGGTCCCTGGGGATTGGAAAACACTGTATTACAGTTGTAGTATTTACCACTCTATTTCTGTATTTACTGCACATCACAATCTCTGTTTTCAGATTCAAGAGCATTGTGGGAATTGGAGTTGGGGCTGGTGCCTACATCCTGGCCAAGTTTGCTGTAAGGAGAGATGGAACATTTTCGCTTCATAAATCACTTTTTATTCCTTTGTTATTTTCATATTTTTCAACTCTCTAACCTCCCCCCCCCCCCCCCTTCTACCCCAGCTGATTTTTCCAGACCTTGTGGAGGGTCTGGTTCTGCTGAACATCGACCCCAATGGCAAGGGCTGGATTGACTGGGCAGCGACCAAGGTGTGTGCAGAATCACAAACATGCAGGCGGCATGCGATCTGTACTGGCTACAGGCCAGTTGCCGTTGCCTTGACAGCACCTCACGTACATACTGTAGGCCAGCTTTTACCACATGTATCCTCTGTTCCCTCAGCAGATGAAAACCAGCAGAGTCACATTTGTTCACAGATATCATACAGATGCTATGATGGTAGCCATTTTGTTTCAGGATTGACACAAAATGGCTGTCCTCAAATAACAACAATAACACTGCTCAACAAAGATTTTGGGGGTATTTTTCATACGTGAATTACTCGTTTAACCAGATGTAATTGTTCACAATTTGGCAGGATACTGGATCTGTCAGTTTTTCTAAACTCTTGCTGGATGTGTTGTCATAGCAGCACATCCAAATCCTCAAACCTGCTTGGAGCAGGTTTGTTCTACGTAAACAAAGATTAGCTCACACACTTAATCAGTGTCCGTGCATGGAAATCCGTTCAGTCATGGCCTAGCTATTCATGGAAGAGCGACCAATTGCAATCAGTGCACAACTAATAAGAAGGGAATTTCAAATTGAGAGGGTTCTGCGCGATCGGCAAGATCCTTTATTGTTGCTGGATGATATTTTTTTCGAAAGATACCGCTTCAGCCGAGATGGAATATTGTATCTTAAAGATTTATTAGCTCCGTATAGTAGAAGTCCAACTAGGCAAAGTCAGGCTGTCACAGCCACACAGACAATGTGCATTGCCTTGAGATATTTTGCAAGCGGCACTCGGAAAATATGTCAAAGAGTGCAGTTTGCCAGGCAATTCGCAATTGTTTTTCTCGGACACCTGCGAGTGCAGGCAATTAAAGAGGCATTTTATGCCATTGCAGGTAATGTATACGCAATCAAATTACAGTTCTACTGTATAAAGAATTAAAAAATCACACTAATATTCTCATTACCCAGAATCTCCAAAGCCTTCTTCTTATTAGCTTCAAAAGGAATGTTTTATAAATATTAAAGATTTCCTACATTAACATACTGTACACACACACACACACATATATGAATGAAATGTCGTGTTTGTACTTCACTTACTTCACTTTAACTTGTTTCCATGTCCTGCATGATTGTGCTTGTACTTGATCTGTAATTGTGACAATAAAATAATAATGAAACACTGGAAACGTAATACTACATTCAAGTGTTAAATACAATAACTAAAAACTACTTACACATTTAATTTGTGGGACACTTTTTGCCAGCCGTCTTTTCTGGTTCGGCCCGCTTTTGATGCGTTTCCTTTAGTACATATTAAATCTTTGAATTCATCATACCCTCTAATGAAAGGTCCTGCTCAGATTGCGTGAGAAATTGTGCCCTGTATTTTGACATTTTGTGGAAGCCAATGAGAGACTTGCCAATCACGTTTTCTAGACTTTCAGATTTCAGAAATGCACTCAGAATTTTGCTATCACCCATAGTTTTTGAGTGATGTCATTTTTACTCTATATTGATAATATATAAATCCTCATTAAGAATATATGAGTAAATTAAAGATTCATTTGAAAAATGAATTTATTTCTATTTGTGAACAAATAGAAAGTGCCTTAAGTATATTTTGCCAGAGTTTACAGCTGTAACACATTTGGACATACTGAGGCAGGACTCTGCTCCCTCTCTGATATGGACAAATGATATCATGGCAAGTGGAGTCCCAGTATGCTTGCTGTCGTCTGCTGGACCCTTAAGAGGGACCTTCCTGAGGCCAAGTGCAGCAGAAAATCATACATTTCCACCTTTTGGATGAGTCGCTTCCATCTTCCACATATACTGTAAATGTAAATGTAGCGTAAAGTTTAATTGTGTCACTCAAAATCCTTGCATGACAGGGAAAGTCTGATTAGATATGTGAATTCAGCACAAAAACACCTATTTTGATTCATGTGACAAAAAGAAAGTAAAAGTTTTTAACCGATGTAATAACAAGAAAACAACACCGACAGGAAGAATAATAGTAAATATGGATGATAATGAATATACTGTAGTAGGGCCGCATGGTGGCTCAGTGGGTCGTACCTCACCTGCAGGGTTAGTGGTTTGAGTCCCATGCCTGCTTGCTGTGTGTGTTCCTTTTCCCCTGGTGGTGAAGGTCTCACACAGATAGTTCATTCTCTGTGTGGATGTGCTTTGTGATGGAGTGTCATGCCGTATTGTACCCCTGCCTTGTGCCTTATGCTTACTGGGATAGACTCCAGACTCCTGTGGTCCTGTAATGGAGAAGTGTTTAGAATATGGATGTAAATAGTATGTCGTATTTACAATGAAACTTTACAATGACTTTATTGGATTAAATGTGTTCTGAAAGGGGCATAAAACACAGCACTAATTGAGCTACTCTGTTGCAGTGGGCTTTGAATTCCTCCTTATTTTCTGCTGACACAGTCGTGTGTATCTGTCTCCCGCTCAGCTGTCTGGACTGACCAGCGCTCTGCCTGACACCATCATGTCACACCTCTTCAGCCAGGTGAGGCCTCCATAGAGCACTGCAGCACGCCTGCTGGATTCCCAGGGATCTGCTGAGAGCTCATCCTCTGCCTCTTTCTGAGAGCTCATCCTCTGCCTCTTTCTGAGAGCTCATCCTCTGCCTCTGCTGAGAGCTCATCCTCTGCCTCTGCTGAGAGCTCATCCTCTGCCTCTTTCTGCCCAAAGGAGGAGCTGATGAACAACACAGAGCTGGTGCAGTGTTACCGGCAGCAGATCAACAACACCATCAACCAGTTCAACCTGCAGCTCTTCTGGAACATGTACAACAGGTAGTACAGTCTGCGCAGTGCACTGTATAACACATATATAGTCAAACTGTGCATACAGGTTAGTAATAGAAAGGGTAATACAGTCATATACAGTCAGGCTGTACATACAGATTAATAATAGAGAGGGTAATACAGTCACATACAGTCAGGCTGTACCTACTGGTTAGTAATGCAGCAGGTAATACAGTCACTTACAGTCAGGCTGTATATACAGGTTAATAATACAGTAGATACAGTCACATACAGTTAGGCTGTACTTACTGGTTAGTAATGCAGCAGGTAATACAGTCACTTACAGTCAGGCTGTATATACAGGTTAATAATACAGTAGATACAGTCACATACAGTTAGGCTGTACTTACAGGTTAGTAATACAGCAAGTAATACAGTCACATGTTTGGAATACAACAGGCCGTATATAGTTTTGGAATATAACAGGTCACATACAATTTTAGAATAAAACAGGTCACATACAGTTAGGCCGTAGAGACAGTTCTGGAGTTACACACAGACAAACACACAAACACAGTCCTTCTGTAGTCACAGCTCAATTTGAGCTGATGTTTGCACTCTTTTGACTTGTGCTCCAGCCGTCGGGATCTGGAAATGAACCGCACGGGGTCTGCCTTGAATGCCAAGACCATTCGGTGAGACTCTCCCCTTCTCTGTTTGTGTGGCTCTGCAGAGGTGCCTCTGCATTCATATCGTCGTCTTCCAGTCCTTACAGAACTAGACATCCACTCTCGGGTGTTTAAAGTGCTTTTTCCCAACAGGTGCCCTGTCATGCTTGTTGTTGGTGACAATTCCCCAGCCGAGGAGGGAGTGGTATGTCCCTGTGCTCTGCCTTCATCATCTGCTCATCCTCCTCTTACTTCTCTTACTCCTCTGCTTCTCTCCGTCACCATCTTCCCCATTTCCATTCCATCTGAGGTTGGGATAGTGGCACCATCTTTAGTCTTCAATGTCAAGTTATGTCAAGCCCCTATATTGTCATTTCACACATGTGAAATGAAATTGCATTTTTTCTGGAGTAGTATACAGCCAGAACCAGTTGATTAAAATGGATTAAAATGAAAATGGAATAAAAAACAGTACACAACAATGCACAACAACAACCAATAAATAACAGAAGTAAATAATGCATGTAAACAGACTGCGAGTAACAGATAACAGAAGCAGGTTTGTGTAAATGAGCATCTATCAGTATTTATGGGGTAGGTGGGAGCTGGGAAGCCTGATAGCCTGGGGGAATCACTGCTGCACAGCTTATTGATGGTGGACCGAATGTTCTGGAACCTTCTTCCAGATGAAAGGGGGTGATCAGGCTGTTTGACAGGTGTGAGGGGTCACGTGTGACGGAGAGACCCCTGTTGCTGCAGCATTTGTTGTATATGTTCATAACGGAGGGCAGGGAGGTTCCAAAGGTCTCCTCTGCTGCCCTTACTGTTCACTGGAGGGTGTTGCGGTCTGAGGCTTTGCGGTTCCCGTACCAGACAGTGATGTAGCTGGTTAGGATGCTCTCTGTGGTTCCTCAGTAGAAAGCTGGACTGGAAGGGGAGGCGTGCTCTTCTCAGTCAGCGGAGGAAGTGCAGGCGCTGTGGTGCCTTCTTGGTCTTGGGGGTGATGTTGTTGGTCCCAGAGGGCTCATCTGATATGTGTGCTCCAAGGAACTTGGTGCCTTTCACCACTTCCACAGTTGATAGTCAGCAGAGAATGTACTCTACCCCAAGACAGGGCAAGGAACCCCCCAACTCCTACCTCTTTGGGAGAAAGTACAGGCAGAGTCCTCTCTGCAGACTGAGGAAAGACAGATGGAGGTCAGATTAACGTTCAGGCTCTTCCTCGGGGCGATGGGTGAGCAGAGAGCAGAGGGAGGGATGCGAGGGCAGGAGGGCTGACCAAGAACCCATGTCAACTGGGAATTGGGGCGTGACCGCAGGCAGCTGCACGGTCTGAGCTGCATACTGCATGACTCACCACTGCGCCAGCCTGCCGCATTTGGGTGGCCCACTTCTCCCTCCCACCACGCCTGCAGGTACTCTCCACCGCCTCCTTCTCCTGTCTTCCCTGTCTCTCCACTGTTTTCTCTCTCCTCTTCCCTGCATTTCTCGCCGTTCCCTGGTTCTTTCTTACCTCTTATGTTTGTTGTGTTTGTCCCTCGTCAAGGTCGAATGCAATTCCAAGCTGGACCCCACCAATACCACCTTTCTGAAGGTACAAGCGCCTTACGTTTCATAAAGTCAACCCAACAGTCTGATTAGACCAGTGTTTCTCAACCCCATCCTCTGCCCCCCCCCCCCAGACTGTCCAAGCTGGGAGGGAGCAAAAACATGGGCAGAAACACTGGGTTAGACTAATTGAAATAATTTATGCCACTTTAATAAGCTGTAGATTTTTTGTTAGAAATATACTAGCAATATATTAGTACAAACCATCTAAAAATAAAAATACAGAGTATGAATTATATACACATCTTTCTCTCTTCCAATCACAGATGGCTGACTCCGGTGGACTGCCACAGATCACACAGGTTGGTTGACCCCCCCTTGTGTTTTCTACCCCTGATGCCTCTTCGTTACCCCTTTATACCTTACTTCCATGTGGTGAATGAACGCAGCGAGGAACCATGGAAAGGATGAATAAGTAGTCTGCGACGTGACGTTCAGGCCATCTGCCCATGGCCCGTGGCTGCCCGCATGCTGGCAGGGCTGCTCAGGCGGATTCTGTCCAAGCATGGTGTTGGGGGGGCGTCCATGGGCCATGTGTAAGGAGGTGTGCTTGTTTGTTTTTCAGCCTGGAAAACTGACTGAAGCTTTCAAATACTTCCTCCAGGGAATGGGTTACAGTAAGTACACAACCATGCTCATGGAAACACGAGTAACTGCATGTGTGAGAGAACATATTATGGTTCGGGACCCTTTATCTCTCTATTTTAAAGTGCTGAGGCTCTTAGGTGTAAATGGTGTTTCATGACTAACCTCAGGAGCTGGAAAAGCATGGCCTGTTTTAAGAAGATGGCAGGAGACGGGCAGAGACACCCCCTGCACCTGCGTGTCCAGCCCTCTGTCTGTCACCGTGAACTATTTCCTCTCTGTTCACATGGATGATGCCAGCTTCCATTTTGTCTAGCTGCTTTAGCTAGAGTCATAACATAGATTTTAAATACGATCTAGTAGTGCTGCTCATATGTGGTGCTGGAAAGCAGTATGGGCTTACTGGGTGACTGGAGTCTGTAACTGGGCTCTAGAAAGCCATAGTAACGCACAGTCAGTCACATATGTAAGGTTGCCCTGGAAATGGTACTTTTAGCATTAGCCTGTGTACCAATGAATCATATCCATTCACTGAAGCTGTGTACCAGGGAACCCTGTCCATTCAATGGAGACTTTAGCATTAGCCTATGTATCAGGGAACCCTGTCCATTCAATGGAGACTTTAGCATTAGCCTATGTACCAGGGAACCCTGTCCATTCAATGGAGACTTTAGCTTTAAGCTATGTATCAGGGAATCTTATGCAGTCAATGGAGCTTATTAAATTAGCATATATACCGGGGCATCATGACCAGTAAAAAGAGCTTTTAGTATTAGCATACGTACCCGGGCATGATAATTAGCCAACAGAACTTTTAGCATGAGGATTTGTACATGAGAACCATAATCAGCAAATAGCTTTTACCATTAGCCTTTGTATCACTGTATCATATCCAGTTAATACAGCTTCTCTAGCAGGGAATCAGAATTAGGAAATGACACTTTTAGCATGAGTCTAGGCCTTCTACTCCAACTTTAATCAGATAATCAATTATGTTTTATGTGTGCTGTCTTCTCTTTGTGTACAGTATGTGTGTATGCTTGTGCTTGTACTGTGCAGTGTGTTTATGTGTATGTATGTTTTATGTGTGCTGTGCATTGTGTGTGCTTACACCATTTGATGTGTTGTGTGTGCCAGTGTGTGTGTGTGTGTGTGTGTGTGTGTGTGTGAATTATGTTTATATTACATTGTGGGGAACCAAATGTTCCCCACAATGTAATAAAAACCTCTTCTTTTGATGTTGTGGGAACCATTTTCCAGGTCCCCACAAAGATCTGTGAATGCAATCAAAAAACTAAAAGTGTCAAAAGTTTTGTATTTCATTTGATTACTTAGGGATTAAAGTAGGGGTTAAGGTCGTCATGTTGGGATTAGAGTTTTCCTCATAGAAATGAATGGGGAGTCCCCACAAAGATATAATTACAAACCTGTGTGTCCCTGTGTGTGTGGGCCAGATATACATTATATTGTGGAGATGAAATGATGAAAACTTGTTACTTTGACGCTGGGGAAACCATTTCTTCAGTCCCCACAAGGGGAAATTCAATTTTATAAAAATCCATTACTACAATCAAACACTAAAAATGCTATAAGTCTAGTATATTGTTTGGCTACTTATGGTTAAAGTTAGGGCTGGGTAGGGGTTAAGGTTGTCATTGTTGGAATTTGGGTTACGTTCCATTCAGGTCTGTGTGTGTGCATGTGTGCGTGTGTGTGCGTGTGTGTGCGCGTGTGCGTGTGTGTGTGTGTGTGTGTGCGTGTGCGCGTGTGCGTGTGTGCGTGTGCGTGTGTGCGTGTGCGTGTGCGTGTGTGTGTGTGTGTATGTGCGCGTGTGTGTGTGTGCTAGGTGTCTAGCACTGTGTTGTCTCTTGTGGGCGGATGTGTTAATCTTACCCCTTTGTGTCTCCCCTGCTCCTTCTCTCAGTTGCTAATATAAAGGATCGAAGGTTGAGTGGGGGGCCAGGTACTTGCTCTTGTTTACTCGTCCCCCCTTCCTGTTGATGTGCTCCACCTTCCACGCCCAGGCATTTTGCTCTCACAGTGCTTCTCTCAACTCCATTTTCCCTTGTGGTAGTGCTCGTTCCTACTTGGTCCGTGCTTTATTGTCCATATGGTAGATCTTCAGATTCGTCCTGAAAAGCCCCCTTCAGAGCACCCCCACCCCCACCCCCACCTCCAGGTCTGCATTGCATGGTGTCTGGATGGACCAGAAACCCAATAGCTGGGAGGCTGCTTCACAGCACTGTGTCGCACCATGTTTCATAAAACGCTGCTGGTTTTATGAATGTTTGCATGTGGAGGGAGTCCCATGGGCTGGCCTTTCATAGGGCCAGATGGGAGAGATTTCCATGCATTGCCGGGAAAGCAGTAAAACGCCCCATGCCATGTCCCCGGCAGCCCCCGCCCTGTTATTCTCACACTTTGATGCAGGATACTGAATTACGAGCTGTGCCCGTACCAGCAGTATGCGTGAATATGTAGACACAGGGCCACCCACCTGTGGCCGCCTCAGCAGTTGTGAATTCGATTTTTTTACTGTTGTATTTTTCTCCTGTCCATTTATAAGCTGCTGCTGCACTAAGCATGCATGCTGCTCTCCTGCCTGCTCTCCCTTTGGGGAAGTAACAGAGTCACATGTTTTTACGTTGGCCCCGCCCCCCACAGTGCAGTGTTCCAGTGTCTGACCCTTGTCTCCGTTACCCTTGCCAGTGCCCTCAGCCAGCATGACCCGCCTGGCGCGCTCGCGGACGGCCTCCCTGACCAGCGCTGGCTCCGTGGAGGGCTCACGGTCCCGCCCCTGCACCCACTCGGACAGCAGTGACGGCGTGGGTCAGCTCAACCACACCATGGAGGTCTCCTGCTGAGCCCCACGGGGGGCCTTACCAGGGGTGGGGGTGTCATTAGAGACGGCTGCCGGCCTCATCTGTTTTCCTCGACACACTCCTTTCCTCCTTCCCTTCCTCACTCCCTCCCTGTTTCTTCCTTGCTGTACTCCTCTATGAATACTTCTGTTTGTAATGTCAGGACATGTTTTCCCCATTTTGCCCGTTGTCCCCTCGACACGCAGACCCACCATTCCCTGCCGCCTCATGCTCTCTCTATGCCTGCTTCTTGTCCCTTTAACTTCCTCTGTATTGCTGTTGGGGGTGGGGGAGGGGGGATAGAACGGTAATGCACAAATGTGAACCTTTCTGAAATTCCTGGGGTGATGCTCATCTGAAACTACACAGCAGTGTGTAAGGTTCTCTCTCTATCTCTCTCTCTCTCTCTCACACACACACACACACACACACACACAAGATGTCAAAGTTTCTGATAGAGTCAGGCAGCTTCCCCGAGGGCTATACTGTAGCAGTAACCTCTGGAGTTCTCAGCAGGCCTGTTAGAGGCCGCTGAGCCATTCTGTAGCACAGATTTCACATCCTGGGTTGATGGTGGAGGTGCAGACGTGTGAGCATGGCGCACCCTGTGTGTGCCCAGGCCTGGGAACATTGCATGTTGGCAGCGACCCTGTATTTCAGTGCTTTCCTATGAAAGCCTGACATCATTCACGAAGCATAGCATCACATCAACATGTCATAATGTATCAGGACAAGGAACACGGCGTCACCGAGCAAGACAGCCACGTTCGAAGCGTGTGACCCTGGTTGGAGATGTAGTCACTGAGGCGTGAAGATCAGAGGTTTTCATCCTTCGTCATAAGTTGCTGCATTACGTTGAACTCGGACCATTGCAATGGAAATCGTTGACACAGTCATGTCACAGACTAGGACGTGGGACAAACGCATGGCAGGTGGATCAGAGAAAGGGGTCGGTCTCTGTGACATACGAATCCATAACATCCCGCCTCCATATCTCCACCTGCAGAAGAACTTACGTGGTATTGGACCCAAGGAGCTCCCTGGTGCCAGTGGGTCTACACAGGGATGTGTGTTGCCACAGATGGGCAGGCCAGGGTCTCCACTACAAAGACAATCACCTTCCCGCTCAAACCAAACCGGGCCTTGGAGCCACGCAGAACTCACTGGCAGCAGGGAGTTCCTGTGGGTCAGTGCCGGTCCAACAGCCCCTTCCCCTGTAGTACCTGGTCCTTACTACGATGATCATACCAAAGCTAGGCCCTTGAATAGTGGCTGGGCACTACAGGAGAACTGGAGTGTGTCCGCATGCATATTTGCTATTGTCCGGCAGAAGAACACCATCATTCCCATTACAAACATCATTCCATGACACATTATAGGGAAACAACTTAATGGCCATAAGCTTGCAACATCAAGACATATTTAGACTTTCTGTGAGGGCGGAGAACTTTGGACAATGTTTCACTGAATTTAAAATACACATTACCACACTAGAGGCATAAAATCTTTACTGCCCTTGGTGATTTAGAGAAATATTCTCAGTTGTATTTAGTATGAAAATTGTGGCGGTTTTCTTACCACAAATGTGTCAGTGTATGCAGTATATCCTGATCACAGGCTAACTTCTCCAACACAGGAAGCCATTTTCATACAGGATTCACTATCACCATCTTTCACTTTCAGAACAGTTTTTCCCAACCTGGTCCTTGGGGACCCCTGATGGTCCATGTTTTTCGTCCCTCCCTCCCACTCTACCAAAATGATGGACTGAAGGTCTCCGAGGACTGGGTTGGAGAACACTGGCATAGACCATCTTAGCCTGTTGTTCTTGATGACATGCTGGACTGAGTCACAAATTTCACACATTGTCATTTCATTCATTTAAGAGGCTTCAGGACTGTCAGCACCATGTGTTCATTTATCAGCCCTCACATTCATGTCACGCTACAGGGACCGACTTGGAGATGTGGGTCTGTTCTTTAAGGAGTTTGTGGAGATGCGACATTGAGTCATGATAAAAACTGCTGGACACACGAACACAAACAAGATTCCCACTGACTTTAGTAAGTCTCATTTTGCTGATAAACTTGGCTCTCTTAGCAGGTGAAAGGATTGTGATTTGGTTATTTGGTGTTTTGTCATACCGTAAGATCCTTATCACTGCCATGCTATTCTCAAACCACTGCACACTTCTGACCCTGTTAGAGTGCCCAATAAATGATTAAAATACAGTCGCAGGTCTTTATTAAAAGTAGTCTTCAGTCATCTGTGCTGTCATTACAGCACCAGTGCTGTGAGCTTCGCACCAGACAGGCGATCACGAACAGGATGACAGCCGCTCCTCAGCTGCATCCCTAACCTGATGCTGCTGCTTTAAGAAGCTCTACGTAAGGCTATGAAATCATGTGACTCTGTGTTAGCATGGTGTTTAGTGAGATTAAGGACTCAGTGGAGAGCACTTGCTGCTGAGCAGGCCTCAGTGCCACCTGGAGGTCCCTGTCCCACCCAGTAGGAGGTGGGGCCCTGATCAGCTGTCAACTGGTGCGTTCTTCCTTTCCAGGCCATTTTAGTCCCACATCTGTCTGAATGTTGATCGTAAAGTGACGCCCTCGAAAGCAGGGGGTCTGGTCCAGCAATCTGTCTACTGGGCAAACATTTGTGTCTGCAAGGGGTGCAGCTTTATGGAGCAACTCACTCCAAGCTTGGAATGTAAGGCAACATCCAACTTCACTGCCTCCCCCCAAATTGTTGGTGCCCCGCCACTCACAGACACATCTCTCCCAAAGAAGGGCTATTAGCTAACGTAACCACTTAGCAACCCAGCACCAGTTCACAGCTGCCAGGATCGCTAAGAGAGAGTCTCTCGCTAAGTGGTCTTAGTGGTACCTACATTTCTCAGAGAGACCGTGACTGTCATCTGCTCACGAGAAACTGACTGCTATGCCCTTGTTTAAATAGCCCTTGAATGCAGAGGTTTGGGTCTCCTCTGTGACCATAAGCCATGCTTCTAACAGAGCCCTGATTGCTCCAGTGCTCCCTGTCACCCTGTAATGGTGACTTTATCCTCAGTGGTCCTGTGTCAGTGTCGCTGCCCCTCTAATACCTGAGCTCAGCCCAGACTCTCTGCTAGCCCATTATCACTTCTCTGGTGTACTACATTTGCCAAGAGTGTAATTCAGCAGCAAAATGTTTCCCCACCCTGGTGTCAATGTTGCTGCCTCCTCGTTGCTGTTTTGGTTGGACACAAGGACCTGTTAACTGTTAGAACCAGTGATTAAGGATGTCAAGATCTTCATTCAGACATTGGGGGATGAGTAGGGCCAGAGGTACTTGAGGAGGAATTAAGGAAATTGCTTGGCTGTTGAAAGTGAGCTGGTTTATTTCAGAGGTGCTGGGTGCCGGATGGGAAGGGGGCTGTTTGTTTTCACTGTCAGACCAGGAACCAGGTTTTATGTGCTAATGTTTTGGTCCTTGTAAGTGATCCATCAGGAGAACTGAATAGCCTGTGGCTCTTAAAACTATATACGCTGTGGGAGGGGGTGTACAAATCAGTGTAAATAATGCAGTAATTATACAGTGCTAAAGCAAAATGGCTATTAGCTCAGTCCTGTAAACACATTGTAGGTATCTACTGCTGAGTTCCAGGTGGAGGATATTCTGTCCAGGACCGTCTGTTTGAGAGACAGACAGGTGCAAGGCAGTCTGTGTGAAGGACAGACACATGCAGAATGGTCTGTGTCAGGGACAAATGGGTGCAGGATGGTCTGTGTGAGGGACAGACAGGTGCAGGACAGTCTGTATGAGTGATAGACAAGTGCAGGATGGTCTGTATGAGTGACAAACAGGTGCAGAACAGTCTATACGAGGGACAGAGAGGTGCAGAACGGTTTGTGTGAGGGACAGAGAGGTGCAGAACAGTCTGTGTGAGGGACAGACAGATGCAGGAGAGTCTGGGTGAGCAACACAGATGCAGGATGGTCTGTGTGAGTGACAGACAAGTGCAGGATGGTCTGTGTGAGCAAAAGACAGCTGCAGGATGGTGTGTGAGTGACAGACTGCTGCAAGACAGTTTGTGTGAACTACAGACAGGTGCAAAAACGGTCTGTGTGCTTGACTTCTGGAGAGCTGAGTCCCAAATCTGATTAGCTGGCTGACTGTAAAGAACACATTATACACACATGACCCGATTGAAGCTCTAACACATTGCCAGTGTGCCCTAACCCTCTCCTGCCTAGGCCTGGGCTCTACTGTCCACGCTCTCTCCTAGCTTTAGATACCTGCTGTGTTTAAGACAAGCTGAATAAGAAAGGTAATACAATGTAAACTAGTGCAGAATTCTAACAAATACCACGTCTTCTTCTCTGCCCTCCTTGAGGTCCTTTGTTTTTATATTATAAATAGTATTATCCAGTGGTTTAACTGTTTCTGTGGGGTGTTATTATTACTCTTATTGTTACTGATCATTGTTACTATTATACTTAGAGACTATTTTGTATTGAGCAATAAGTTGTGGTGTTCTCTAACTGTCCTGTTGTGTGGGCGTCTCCCAGAGCTTCACTCCGCCCACAAATAGTAGTTCTCACTGTAACCTGCTTTAACATAATAAATTTAAAAGGTGTGAACATGAATATAACTTTGCCGTTACTTATACATGTACTGAACATAATCAAAAATAAAGACATTTCTCGCAACGTCTTTTGTCTGTCACAGAAATTAGCCTTATGATACGCTGACCTCACAACAAGTATTTTGCACTCACACAAAATACAGAATATTGCAGAAAAAAACTGCAACCATGATATTTTACATGGGTAGCAGAATGGCTTAACAAACATACGCTGTATTATAGACCATCTCCTACATGCTAACCTCACAACAGAGTTAGGAGCTCTGATGCTGTGGAAAACTGGGCCCAATGGGAGCAGGGCTCCTGTATCTGGTGGCGACTTAGTCATCCTCCAAGAGCATCCTCATGCGGGCACCATGCTGCAGGGTGTGTCAGAAAGATACAGTCATGAGGGAGACAGCAGGAAACAGGCAGTTTGAGGGCCCGTTACAGGGGTGGGCAAGGCCCTCATGCGATATTGGAGAATATTTAAGAATTACTTAATTTTGTACTGTAAAATATAATGAAACAGTATCAATAGATGGATCTCATGGTGTAGCCATCTTCTTCTACTCTTAATTCTGCCAGCATTAAGGAAAGACAGAGGTCTTACCAAGCAATAAGAAAAGTGAAGGAGTCACTCTTCTTCAACTGTGAAATATTCAAAGAAAAAAAGATTTTAAGCACTCTTACTCTGATATTTAACATGTGTTATATAATATAAAATAAAGATATTGATTCCATACTACAAGTATAGTGTGTTCATTTACAGAATCATATAAGGCTGTTCCCCTTAGCAAGAGTCAGAAAACAGCGCAGTGGAATCTGAGGCCGTCCCAGTGGGTGTTCATCTCTTTTGATATTGACTGGTGTGTGGCAGACTTCCACCACATATCAGCTGAAGTCTCTTCTTGACAGTCCACTTGTCGGACTGATAGCACGGACTCTATACATTCATATATGGTGTTTAATTTACTCCCCATCAATGAGTGTGACACAGTGTGACCTAATTCATGTACTGTGTGCCATTTTGGCTTCCACATCCTAAACGACACTCATGATTATTCTACATGCCTCCTGCAGCCATGTGTTCCTCAGCCTAGTCTGATGCTTTCCAGCAGAAGGAAGCCCTGATGCTAAAGACAATGTTTCAATTTGCAAGTGTGGAGACAGGCATGCAGGGGGCACCACTGTGCAGCGTGTGTGAGATGTGACGCAGTAGGACTCTTGTCAGAGTAATGAGAATGCTGCTGTCTGCGACGAATACGTGAAGGAGTTTGAGGGCGTGGCCAAGCTGATGGCCACTTGCTGGGAGCTGCGGGCACAGGCACGACGGAGCAGACCGACCTCTGGGTCTTCTTGTGTTTCAGACAAGCGGAACAGATGGGCTGCTGACTGGCTGGCCGTTGCATTCTCCTGCTCTGATGGACGGTGCTGATTTATTTTTTGAGCGATCGCAGTGGTGTCCTTGGCCAGCTTGAATTAATGAGCAAATATTTTGCTGTCCCAGACTGGCACTTTTGGATGTTTATCATGTGACCGCTGTACTACCTTGGGGAGATGCTTGTCACATTAATCACATCCAGGACCTGCTGACGGTGCAGAAGCTGTCTCAGATCCAGACCATGACTGAGAATATAACTAAGCAGCAGCATTCAGCCTCTGAAATCCAGGAGCCCCAATCATGCCCTGCACCTCTAGCAGATGGGGGAGATCCTCTCACCACAAAATGCTCAAAGCAGCACCGGCCTGCATCCAAGGGGACAATTAGACGCACCGAAAACAACATGTCCTAACAAACCTTTACAGGTCATCACAACACAAACATTCGCAAAGACAGGAGCTCTGTTATTCCTCATCAAGCATCATTTCAGCGAGCAGCCCTTGGGTCATTCCCTGAAGTAACCAGTTTGGCTTTCTCACTTTATAACACAAAGCAGAAGCCATTTCAATGGTTTATCCAGGCATTTTCTCTTCTGTGTACCCAACTGTTGCAAGTCTTGCGCTACCTTAAATTCAGCCAATTCTCTGTGTTGAAAAATAACGAAAACTCACTTGCAAATAACTACATACATTTATATCAAACACTGCGTGTGTGTGATATGCTGGAATCCCATCCAGAGTGGTTCATGCCTTGTGACTGATGCTCCATGATGAGCTCCAGGCACCTCACAACTGACAGTAAGCAGTTTGAACATCGATGGATTTGCACTCTCTCTGTCTACTGTATGTCTGGATTGGATCCTGTAATGCCCCGGTCCCATATGTCATTTCCCAGTTCGACCAGTGGGTGTTGCTGGTCTTCCAATCTCCCGCTATTTCCCAGGTTGTTAGCAGCTAGTATTTTCCTGTTCCCCTGCCTGTTGCCTGGCTTAATGGGCTAAGCAGGTGGCTTTACCCGATCTCAGCCTCAGCTATTTGTGTTTTTGACCGTTTTTTCTTTGTGTTCTTTATCTTGTTTTCTAGCCACCCCTTGGTGTTGATCCTCTGTCTGTTAATTGACTTCACCTACTCTTTGTTGCCCTTAGTTTGTAATAGTTCACACCTGCCCCTAGTTAGCCCTTGATATCTGTGAGTATTTAATTGCCTGCCCATCGTTCTGTTCCTTAGTCAGTCATTGTGGCTGTTTGGCCTGTGTTGCAGTATTCAGCTACTCCTCTGTGTCAGTAGCTGTGGTTATCTCCCAGTCTTTGTGGTCACTATGTGGTCACTCTTTAATTAGTTCCTATTTTTCCTGTTTTGTTTTGACCCCTTCTGGTCCTTTTTTGTGGTTCCCCCTTCAGGTTCTGTTTAGTTCTCTGTATGCTTTGAACCGTTCTGTGGATGGTCCCTCCCTTCTTTTGTGATGCCCTGCTGTAACAGTCTATCCATCCATCTTCTAACCCATTAATAGTAGAATTCTTCAGTAGCAAAATGGTGTGTGTTAATCTTCAGGATGGTACTCAGAAGGACAGGTGGACTGAGACAAAATTCACATTCATTTTTATTCCAAGTTGCCAGGTACACAAATGTCAGGCAATATCTACACACACATTCAAATAGCACAGTGAATTTGAAGTGCATGATGTACATGAAATGGGGAGCCAGACTTCAGTATATCTTACATTAAATCTGAACGTTGCACTGTGGATTGCTTGTTTCACTGTGCAGGAGTGCCCTCCTCTGGCCGCTCGTGGAATAGCCAGCTCTATAATGTACTTGTATCATCTGGAGCGTAAGCAGAAATCAGACTCTTAAGCACATTAGTACATTCAGAATGAATATAAACTGAAACTTAAGCACTACAGAGAGCTAGAGAGTACTTCCGTAGAATGCAATAAGAGCCTTTGAACCCCCATTAAAACCGGCAATGAAGAGGTGTCTGATTCTCTCAGATTTAAGATAGAAAGCTGCATTATTTGCCATCCATCTGTTTATTTGGCTTCTTTGGCGTGGGAGGTTATATCTATGATGGGGAGGGATTCCGGAGCCGCTGGAAGGCATGCGCTCCACAGGGGGGCGCTCTCCACATTGCTCCCCATTCCTGAGTTGCTGTGCTAGTGTCACATGGCTCTGTCCAGTTCTTGCCCACACCATCGTTAAGCTCACTGGTGAAACTGTCATAGGCAGGCTGTGGAAAAACGTGCTCAGACCAGCTAACGGAGACTCAGACACCACCTCCCATAATTGCATACGACGGATGCTTTCTGGAGTTAGCCAGCAGAGGGCGCACTCGTCCACACAGCCTTCTCATCAGATTCCAGTTAACATGCTTCAGCTCCAGCCATCCATCCGTCCATCAATGCCACTAACCCAGAACAGGGTCACAGTGAGAGTGTGGATTATCTCAGGGGACACCCTGAATGGGATATCAGTCTACTGCAGCTCTCACACATTCTGTGGGTTCCATAGAGATGTGGGTGTTGGGATTTCTGCTCCAATGTCAATTCCAGTGAAAAGGTAGGATGCAGACTGAAGACTAGGGGGAGATGTACATACATTAGACAGTGCAGCATAAACTGCATCTTAGCCAGTCTGCAGACAGCGCACACTCTGCCCTGTCATTTAACGTTGGATGCAGCTCCTGAAATAATGCTATCTACCACAGATTTAGCAACAGGGCTTTTGGAGATGCATGATTACTTGAAAGCATTATTTTAATTTCTTTTACAGCAAATTATTGGCACATTTTTGTCCCCCAATTCCTTTAATTTCAACTAGAGTTCCAAGCATTTACAATAAACAGCACATGTCATATTTTGTCAATATGCTACCATTTTCTTCTGTGTTTTACTTATATTTAATGTATGGTATCCCCAACAGCCATGGCTAACAACTCCGGTTAACAACATACTGTAGTGACTGCAGCTCAGCAAAACTACAACTGATTGCACATTCTGACTAGGGCATGATACAGTGGAATAATAAAACAAAGTTGTTTGTTCAGTATGTTTCTTCTCATTCCAATAGCTGAAAAAAATTGTTCATTTAACCGTCACTTTCTTATTTACGTTCATGGTTCAATCTATTTTTTACAGGGTAGAATAAATTGTTTGCATTGAGGCAACTTCAAATATTTAGTGTGATCGATTACTTCAAATATTTTAAGTTGATTCAACATTTCCAGCATTTAATTGTTTTCAGTGTTTACAGAGCACAGAGACATATTTGTATGTCTTTTAACTCTTTTTCCCTTTTTGGCTCTTCAGTCAGCTTCCACACCTCGGCCTAGCATGTCTCTAGCTGAAACCATTTGTAATCATGCACAGACACACAGTGATTAACACTCTCTTGAAAAGGTATGTAGTTGAGGGTATGTGATGCAGGCACTATATACTCATCTGTTCTCCAAGGGGTTTCACCTCCTGCACCAGTCATTTCATGCGAACGGCCTGCTGCTGGCAGCCCAGTAGAGTCATCATCCTAACACAGAGGGTAGCAAATGGGATGCGAGCAGGAGGCAATCATGCAGAGGCTGGAGGCAATCATGCAGAGGCAGGAGGCAGGGTGGCCAGAGCCGGTGGAAGGCGGGGCCTCCAGCTATAAAACTGGTAAGGCAGGTAAATCACATAGCACCACAATCAGCATCCACTTATGCAAAACCATGCTA